AAGGAGCTTCCGTTCTATATGTTGTTTTTATGGACCTTCAACTTGGAACTGACTCATAGCTGACTTTCCATCGGGTCTTCAGAGGCAGCAAATCACAAGAGAGGAGACTGCCCATCTTTCTTCCCAGTACGTTCTTCTATATGGAAAATAAATCACAAGTAAGCAAAATACATAATATTCAGTGGCGGAAAATGTTAGAGGGGGAGGAAATAAAAGCAGAGAAGGTAGAGGAGGTACGGAAGCCCCAAGAGAGCTGTGTGGATAGCTGTGGCTTGTTGCCATCAAGTCGACCTCTCCTGCCCTCCTAAGCCATCTCGGGTGTGCTTACGCCCGGCTGTTACACAGTCACTATGTCGGACCATCTTCTTGGGGAGTCTTCCTCTCTTACCCTGACCACTTTTCCCAACAGAGGAGTGAGGACGTTAGGGAAGGAACAGGAGCGCGATCTAGGAAAGATGGGAAATAGGAAAAAAGGGACCTAGAGGCAAGGATGAAGGCTGCGAGACAAAGGAAGAAATGGGCACGGAAGAGGCTGGGACTGTGAGTGAAGAGGGGAGCTCTGAGACAAGGATAGACCACGCTGAAGTCGAGGGGATCCTTGTCCCCACTCCAGGAGAGCTCAGGCAGCAATGCTGACACAGCGCTAGAGCGCAGCCAGCACGAGACCCCTTCACGGATCTCCACGGATCACCATTCCTGCGGCCTGCAGGGGCGCGTGTCCAGCACCAAGGCCCGGCTATTTCCGCACAGGTCGTCCTGTCCCACCCCGAGGTGTCCAGAGGGCCCCGCTGACCCGGCTCCCTTCCTCTAGCCGGGGAGTCTGGGGTGACCCCGCGCAGGGGAAGACGCCCAGGCAGGCGCCGAGACTTGGCGCGCGGCAAGAGACAGGAAAGTGTCGAGGAAGCTCGAAGCCCAAGTGCAATAACAGTGTTTTGTCCCTTAAGCCTCACGGACCCCACCTCATTGATGGTGAAAAGTCAGAAATGGAGACACTAGGGGACTTGTGGGAGCCAAAAGGCCAGCTGTCCCTTAGCTGGAGAAGACCCTACTCCTGAGCAGACCAGGCGTCTTGCCAAGGCAGCAACGTGTCTCACTCTCTTGGCTGCGGCAGCTGCCAGTACAGAGCGGGTGCTAGTTCCCTAGCACTCCATTGGGACTCAAGGGGGACTCCCAGCTCCCTAACACTCACGGGGCGGGGGAGGTGACTGCTCCTTTACACTCACTCAGGGCGCAAGGAGGGCTCCCAGCTCCCTATCACGCAGCAGGAGCTCAAGCCTGAAAGTATTTCTGGTTTCAAAGGACGCAGAAAGAGGAAAGGGGAGCCCAGGAGCTTTGAAATATCAGACCTCCAATTCTCGGTCACAAGGTATTTTTTTTTCTGATCTGAGTGAACAAAAATACAGAAAGATCCTTGGAACACCTTTTCTTTCAAGTTGGTTTCCATTTAAACTGTGGTATTATTTTTAAATCGTAGGAATTCTTCCACTGCCTCCATTCCCGGGTCAGGCGAAGTGCTAATGAACAGCAAGCAAGTCGACCACTAACCAGAGAAAAAATTAGAACCTAACCGAAAGATTTGAGTGAAATGCGAACCACCTGCGGTTCCGCTGGTTGAACTTCTCTCTTCCATTTCAGACCACCTCAACACAGGGGTTGGGTGGAGCCTCCTTGTACAGGTAGGGTCTGCTCCCCCATCTAGAGGATGACGGTTCTGGGGATCCCCAGTCACCTACCGTTTATTTCTGGGATGGTGATAGAGTGCTGAGAACAGCTAGAGTAAGACACAGGCAAGTATGATTAATTTCTTAATCACCTCTGTGAGAAATTTGTCTTCAAAGCTGAGTTTATATTCCACCACTCTCTCCTTTCATACACCATTTTTGTCAGAAGTAACATCCTCACCTCAAACTAGTTAACCGTGGTACAGATGTAATATTTGCAATATGCATCAGGATGAGAAACTGTAAATATATTGGATTTTAATTTACAAAATAGGATTCTGTATCTTACAAATCTACAATACACCTAATTGCCCAAAATTGGAAGCCTAACGCTGCTGATATAAAATAGGACAGATATGAGAGGGGTTGGGGAGTGAATAGGGAAAGAGTGGGTTGATAACACTGCATTACAACAGATGGGGAAGGAACTGTCCGAAAGGAATTTGTGATTACACCTTGGATATATGAGAACAATCTGGAACAAGGGGTGCATTGCGAGACAGGCTGTGGGAGAGAGAAAGGGAAGGGGGGAGAAAATTTTCAACAGTGAATAAATTTTTTTAAAAAAACACTAAAATTAAAAGCCACACAAATGGCCCCTACCTTGGAAATAGAAAAACAAACACTAGTATCATACTAAATAGAATACTACTTCATACTAAATAGAATACTACTTAGCAATAAAAAGGAATAGGCTACAAATAAACCCAATTACATGAATGAATCTCAAATGCTTTAGGCTAAGTAGTGGTAGAAACCAGATTCAAAAGCCTAACTACAAAGGATATAAATGTATATGCTATTATGAAACTAGGAAATCAGCAAAAACAGACTATGAACCAGAGCTGCTAGAGTTGGGGGAAGGGAAAAGAGTTGACTACAAATTAGAAGAGAAAGTTTGGGAAGATGGTGTTAGAATTCTTTATATTTTTATTAGGCTAGTAGTTACATAATGTGTGTTGGTTAAAACATATAAAACTGATAAGAAGGATGAATTTCTGTATGCAAACCACCCTTCTATATATATAACCATTGAAAAAAGGGAAAAAACAGAATATTGTTGGACTAGGATAAGAGTCTTCAATTTCTGTCTTTTCTCTCTGCCTCATATTCTTTTACCTCCAAATCTCTGGTACATATTTGACTCTTAATTTAAATATTTTCAAAAGAGTAATTTATACACAAAAGAAAACCTTGCATTTCTTTTTAAAAAAGGATTCCGTTTCTAAGACTAATCCTATTCACTATGTACCCTTCCCACTTGTTCCACAGGAATGGCAACCAGCCTTGCTCCTGAGGCATAACTCCACTGGCTGGCACATGACAGTAGTACACAGTTGTACCTGCACTCACATTGCCCAGAAGGCTGTGGGGAAAGTAATATCCAAACAAAATTATCCTGCCTTCTCTTAGCCAGCAGAAAAGCTTGGGAATTACTAGATCAACTTTTAGCCATTGTTCAACTCCTTAGGCAACCTGCTGGATGGCAGTAAGTTAGCAGAGACCATGTTCTGCCCAGATGGATCCATAAAGCAAGTGTAAGTTAAGGTCTGGACTTTCAGCAAAGAAGAAATTTGTTCCTGAGAATGGTTCCATATTGCCTAATGGGTCAAGGGTAAAATATTTGGTCAAACATGGCCTTTCCTGTACATGATTATATCAATCCTCAACAGTTCTATATGAAAAGAAAATCTGACTTCAATTTCTCTGCTACTTTTCATTACACTCATCCATAGTTCATGATTTTTATATGGGCAGGCTAGTTTACAAGTAGAGTGTAAAAAGAGGACAATGTACTAGTATTCACAGAAATTTAGTCTAATGAATCATATTAGAGTGTCACAGCTACTGACTACCTGAGTTACAGAATGACTCACTAATTTCCCCCTTCAATTCAAGTGTGTGTGCAACTATAATCATTTCTATCTTCCCAGAATTATTGCAATGCTGTTGTTTCTTATTCCAGCCATATCTCTGTGGTAATGGAGAAAAATAAATGTTAAGGTTAACAGAAACCCCTCAATAATGACTATTTTTGTTATTTTAATTTCATCCTTCAGATTTACTTTTAAAAAATTAAATACCACCAATAAAAACACCAACAACAAAAGCAAAACAAAGCATCCACAAAATATTGAGTTCCCAGTTAGAAACAAAGAGGTTTGACTTTGTCAACTTATCTGCTATTCTGATCCCTACTCTTGAAGAACTTGCTAATTAAGCAATAAAAGAACCAAAAGGTGGGAAAGGAAAGAAAGAAGTGAAACAGATGCAAAAATCCACAATTAGGAGAGTGTAGTCACCAGATTGTGCTCTGGAAAGAAAGAAGCCCAGGGCCAGGACAGCATTTGACTTAACCCTTGAAAAGATTTGTGTAAATCAAAGGCAGTACTGTATGTAGGCTGTAGTCTCTCTCTTAGGAAATGAAATTGGACACCATTCTCTGGGAGTTCTTTCTGAACCTCGTTTGAATTCCTTTACTAGTGTTGCAATTCATACAGCAAACGTTTATTGAATGCCTACAGAATACCAGACACCAAGGAAAACTTTGGAAATAGAAGGATGAAAAGACAGGGTTTGGTCATCAGATTATTTAGGGCAACGAGGAAGCCAGTCCTCATTGGGAGTAAGTGCAAGAACAGATAAAGGGAAACCATTTTAACTCCTTGAAGACTGAATAGAGTGGATGAATTCAAGGAACTTTACTATTTTTATGTGTACGTGTACACTACGCTTTCTGATCTGAATGCACACACATATACTCGTATACTGAGGAGTGGCAGGAATTGGGCAAATCCGACAGAGTCCTGCAAATGGCAGGCGGATCTAGAATCTACAACATGCACTTCTCCAAATGCGCACATTTAATGGCAAAGGTGCCCATCAACCGTGAAGTGCCAGTGTGGTTGGAAGTTAAAAGCCTTGAGATCTGGTGTTTGGCCTAGCCTCCACCACCCCACGCCACCCCCACCCCCCCGCTGTGCGACCTCAGGCACGCCTGGCTCCCCCTCTGGCGCGCTCTCTGCTTGGCATCTGTGAAATACAAAAGATGTGCTAGATCATGTATAAATTTATGGTTCTTTGAAACTGTATTTAAGAGACTAGACACAAGAGGAAGACTAATGTAAAATATTTGTTGATTGACAGAAAAATGCTGGCTCTGAATCACCCCTGTCTGTTAAGAGCTTGTCTAGTGTCGATCCTACTTCCTGGTGAGGTCCAGGCCGAACACACCCGCCCGCCAGGGCTTTACTGCAGACCCTCTGAGGAGCCTCGGGGCTAAGCGAAGGCGCGGGCGCAGGAGGAGGGCGGCTCCTGCCTCCTGCGTGCGCGCGCGCGCTCTCGCACAACCGCGGCTCCAGCGCCCCGCGCGCCGCCCGCCCCCGCGCAGCGTCCCCTCCCCTCGGCTCGGCGCCCCGCGCAGCCCCGCGCCGGCAGCGTGATGGATGGCCGCGGAGCCGGCGGCCTGTCAGGCCTTATTAATGAGGTGCGCGCTGATGGCCGCCGCGTAACCCGAGGCGGCAGGAGGCGAGGCCCGGGGCCGCCCGCGCGGCGCAGCCGACCGGGCGCAGACTCTTCGGCTCTCGAGGTCAGCGCCCCGGGCCCTGCCGCCCCCGCCCCTCGGCGCGCGGCCAGGCTCGGCTCCGGAGAGGGGCGGCCCGTGCGCCGCAGCCGGAAGCACCTCCTGGCCCCCTGGCGCCCAGTGCGCCAGCACCGTTTCCTCCTTGCGGCCTCTTTCTCTTTCCGCTCCTTTTCTGCCTGCCGGTCCGCGCCCCCTTTCCAAGGTGTTGCAGCGCGTGCCCCTTCGGGTCCAACATCCTGAGCCCTGTGCGCGCCCTCCGCTTGCTTCCCGCTGGTGAGCCCGAGGCCACCGCTGCCGCACTGGCCGCCCCGCTCCCTCGCGATCCACACCGGGACCTCCTTTCTTACCGGCGTCCTCGGACTCAGAGGCTCCCCGGCCCCGCACTTCTCCAGTGGAGTTTCTTCCCCCTGGAAAGGTGCCGCGCCCTTCAAGGCGGGGACTGAGCGACCAGAAGTATCAAATTGAACATAGGTGTGCAATGAGAACAGTTTCACGATGTATAAGAGGGAAGAGGAATCAGGGAAAAGGAGAAATCAATTTGAATTAATGAAAAATGTTATATATCTGTAAGAAGATAGGTAAGTAAGAAAATAGAAACACCTAAATGTGAAGATGAGCTTTTGTTTCTTTTTATAGGTTTCTAATTTTCTGATTGAGCAAGAGTTCTTCTATAGTAGTGCAAAATACATTATTTCTAACATATTGTGTATTTAATGAACTAACATTCAGAGTACATTATAAGTATCAATAAATTGTAGGTGATTCATCATCATTAACCCCAAAACATTCTAACAGTGGCACTTTTGAACATTGTGTCTAGTGATGTATAACTCTGGTATTTTCGAGATAACAGACTTTCCAAGAGAGTCTTAATTCAGCCATGGAGAGGAAAAAATATCTTGCCACTAAAAAGTCACAATCTTTAAAAATTTGACCGTTTGCATTTTCGTTCCTAGTCTCTTAAAATAAGCCTAATAAATTCTGCTTCTTTGATAAAACTCTTCACAGAAAACGAATTATAAACTTTCCTGCTATGATCTTGCAGCCACAGAAGAATATCTACTGAACAACAATGGTGAGAGAATTGGGGGGGAAAAAAAACAACAAAAAAAACCCAAACCACTCATATGCTGTGCATCAAAAGATGAGGTTGAACTTCATTCTGAAACTTTTATTTCTTCCCATTCCCACCTTCCTCCTCCTTGCTCTTGTCTAGTTTTTCTAGTGGCCTGGTTCGATTGAGAAGAAACTTGGCTAGGTTATTATATGCTAATCTGGCAGACTGGAGGAAAAGAACAGGCTGCTTTAGCTCCCACCTGTCTTACCTGTCCCTATAATGAAAGTCTTGGTGACATTAATACAAGGATCACAAACACAATACCTATAAAGCACTTTAAGGGAATAAGAAAGGAGTAATTCAACACTGGAGACAACATTAAACATTAAGAAACTAAACTTTATTTTGCTGTTTCTTTTCACTTCGTTTCAAAGGCCAGCACTAATAGACAGAGACATGGAAACCAGAAAACAAGTAGTCTTTTTCTCTAAAGGCAGGCACACTATGAAGCAAAGAAGAAGATATATAGGGTAAAGTACATGGAAATAAGATGCAAAAAAAAAAAACCCAGTTAAGATTTGGAAACATTCCTAAAGTGGGAGTTCTCTTCAGTGTTTATGTAAAGCTTATGGGATGCCTTATCTGGTGTCTTGAACAGGTATAAAGGATTGGAAAAGGACACCACGTTGCTATGATCCCAGGCACTCATTGTAGAATGCAGCTTAGACCAGGAGGGTCAGTGTGAGGAATAAAGGGAGTTCTGTGAAAGCTTATTAATTTGGAAGCCCAGAGTCCTGGCTTCTGACCCTGACGCCACCAACAGCTGAATTACACAGCATAGTCACTTAACTCTCCAAACCTTAGATTCCTGCCTATAGAATGAAGTTGTTTGGGGCTGCTGTTGAATTGATTCTGACGCACAGTGACCCTGTCTGACAGAGTGGAACTATCCCTTGCTTTCTGGAGGCAGACCTCCAAGGTGTGTTTGAGCTGACAACTTTGTGTTTAGCAGTGGAGTTGTTGTCGTTGTTCATTGTACTACCAGGACTCCTTGTAAAATGAAGAAACTAGACTACATTAACTTCAGGGTCGTACACCAACATCCTGTGACTTTAAATCATCCAAAATGTCTATTACCAAATCATGCTCTTTTGAGTCTCAAGTGATTCTATCCTAGGGATCATTCCTGTTCTTGCACAATGAAAGAGACTTGTCATGACTACAGATAATGAGTGTGCCCAGGAAGGCACTTAAAATGTGAGGTTGTGTATGATAAAAGATTTGAGTTATAATAAGAAAACTTCAAATCAAACATGTATTGAGTAGTAACTGATACTGGACACTTAACTGTTTGCTAGATTTGGTGTCACACATTTTATTTTTTTAAAACTGTGTGTGTGTGTGTGTGTGTACACCATCAAATAGGATCTGCCTTCCTTCCCAGCAGAGCATCTGGTGGAGTCGAACTGCAAACCTGTGGGATTGCAGTGCAGCTTCTTGCCACTAGGCCACCAGAGCTCCCTGGTGTCACATGTTTTAAGTGACTTGATTATCTCATCTATCTGTGAGATTATCTCATCAACCACTTGTTTTTCCTATATTACAGATGAGAAAACCAAGATACAGATTGATTGAATAACTTGCTCAGTTTACTAGGTGGTGGAGCAAAGACTTAAATGGAAGTAATTTGATTCCACTTTGTAATTGACCTGATGGGAACAGTTTGAGGTTTGGGGTTTTTGTTTTCTTTTTTCTTTCAGCTTTAAAATTTTCTTTCAGAACACACAAGCACCACTGTGGGCAAGTTATTGGCACTGTGAGTGATATAAAACAAGTGACAGCAACAGAACCACTTTCATCTTTATCCCCAATCACTTCCCTTTTCCCCATGGGTACTATATATAATCTGTAACACGGTATATTTCTTTGTAAGTGTCCCTACGCATCTGCCTGTCTACATACTCCTCTCTCTTAAATTCTAAGCTCCTGGAAGCCACACAATCTTGTGTTTTGACATCTTCCATAGTTTCTAACATGAGACAGAGAAAACTAGCTTGCTGAAGTGAATGTAGAAAATTGGTTTCCATCTTGTCTCTGAACAGTGTACATCTCTGGAAAAGACGGCTAAGTGGGGTGGCCATGGCCTCAGGTACACTTAGCCTAGTTCCCAGACAGCCTCTTTGACACTAATGCAGTGATGGATTTGGAAGGGATTAATTTTATACATGAGGAGACTAGGAAGGACCCAGAAAGGACTACAGACTTGTCTAGAGACACGCAGGTAATTCGTGCCATAGCCAAGACTAGGTCTCCAGAGACCCTGTTCTGTCTCCTCCAATGTGCTGCTTGCTGTCGGTACTGATATCTCCCCTTTATAAATCTGAATCCCAAAGCCAAACTTTCCTCACCCTGATGCAATCACTAGGGTGGGTGAGAGGATTAGTGATAAGGCAGCTGGGGCTCTGGGCTAGAGCCTAGGTGTCTAGGACCTTGGTTAAAGCTGCTGCCCCACCCTTTGCCAGGAGGTGGAAAGGGTGATCCAGATCCAGCCAGGGATGGGGGTGGAGTGAGGGCATGAGGATGATGGTAAAGGGTCAAGGGTCACCAACATTCATAGACTGGAAATCAATTGAGCCAAAATTGGCACTAAAACCAAAATGCACCGCACTGCCATCATAGTGATACTGCAGGGCAGACTAGAACAACTGAGGATTTCAAGACTGTAAATCATCACGAAAGCAGACAGCCTCATCTTTTCTTCAGAGGAGCAGTTGCTCCCTTTAAGTCTTCAACCATTTGGTTAGCAGCTGCTGACCAAATCAGGGATCTCTTGAATCTTGGAATTGAATCGAGGTTGAACATCTTCCCAAACTGCCCTGTGGACTCATAAATATTCAATCCTTCAAAATAAAGAAATTAACAGTGTGGGAGGCAGAATTTGCAGGGCTCTGACTTGGTCCTTGTTCTGATTGTTGGACAGGGTGAATGTATACCCTACATCGCCAATCCCCTGTAAGTTTCTGGCCCTCAAGGCCCGCCACAGTATTGCCCACCTTCACTCTCATGATTTCACACAAATCTACGTATAAGTCACTTGGAATGCTTTGCTTCTATTTCCTTATCTATAAAGAGATTTTTTTAAACAGATGTCTTCCAGATTGTCTTTACACTTCTTGAGTATGAGGTTTAGGGCTGAGGGATTAAGGATGATTTGATGGAAGACACACAACCAGCCACGGGGAAGGCTGAGAACAAGTCACTTCCAGAGTTTGGACTGCTCTGTTACTGACACTGAACTTTGGGCCTTAGGTACTTTATTGGCAAACTTGGTAGGCGCCAGTTGAGACTGCCCCAAATCACAGTGACCCGAAGTACAAAAGGACGAAACCCTGCCCAATCCATCACCATTCTCACAAACTAGGGCTGTTTAACAAGCTAAGCAGCACCCCCCCAAAAAAAAAAACCTCATAGGAAAAAGGTGAGAAGTCATTAAGAATTCACCTTTCAAAGTAGATACTGTTGTTGGTTGCCATTACGTTGATTCTCACTCACAGTGATCTCATACGTACAGAGTGGAACCGCTCCATATGGTTTTCAAGCCTGCAATCTTCCAGAAGCAGATCGCCAGGCTTGTCATCAAGGTGCCTCGGGATGTGTTTGAACAACCACCTTTCTGTAGGCAAGTGCTTCACCAATTGTACAACTCAGAAGCCATTAGACATATATTACAAGTATTATAACCCCTAGGTGCATCAAGTTGCCTCTCTGTACTCACCCCTCATTGATGTCTCCATCAATTTTTAACATCTAGCTAAATGAAGGGATATTTGGGATTCATTTAATAATTGGAGCTATCAGTTTACTATTTGACCTAATTACTATTTCACCTAATGAAAAATGTTGAGGAAAAGGTGGCTACGCCAGTGTGTTCCATGAAGTGGTTGCCCCAGCACTGCCCTGTCCCTCTCCTCCTATTCCATTGAACACTGCTTTGTACCCCCTGACTCTGGACATTCTGCAAAGGGCTTGTGGTGTGTAGTTCTGAAGTGTATGTATGTGCTTTATTTTGCCACCTTACTAAGCTTAAAAGGTTTTTAATAGCTAGAACAGTGCTTAAGAATTGTATCACCCACAGCCCTCCCTGCATTCAGGCTCAGTCACTGTTGTATAGTCGGAACAACTCATAGCTGACCCTCCAGTAGGTTTTCAGAGACTGCAAATTACGTAGAAGATTGCTGAACTTTCTTCCATATAACAGTCTGTCCATCAGTCTTGTGGATTTGAACTTCTTGCCCTTAGATTGGCAGGACAACTGCCTACCCACTAGGCCACCAGAAGTCCCTTGTATACAGTTATTGTTAGGTACTGTAGAGTCAGAACCAATCCATAGCTGATTCTCCAGCAGGTTTTCAGAGGCAGTAAAATCACACAGGAAGAGAATGCCCATCCTCCCCCGCTCCCCATGGGAGCAGTTGGTGGATTTGAACTGGTGGTTAGCACCATAATGCCTTACCACTAACCAGAGCTCCCCTTTGTAGGTGCTCAATACTCAACAGAATGATTTCATGACTAAGTCTGAACATGGAATAAGAAGTTACGGGTCTCATAATTCCCCCTTCCCCACTGTCAGTTGACTTCTGCTAAGGTGACTCTGTGTATGTCAGAGTAGGAGCTATGTACAAATGTGGATATCTTTGTAAGAACTTTGCCTGTTAGCAAATTACAAATAATTTCCCCAAATGCTTTTTTTCTTTTCCCCAAATGCTTTTTGTCTTTCTTCGTATTTAGGGAGACCTTGGGCTTGACAGCAATGTAAATGTACAACTTGTAAACCGCTTTATTTTAACTGTTTTGATCTCACGTGTGTGTGTCTCTTACAATGGTATTTGCTTCACTTTATAACTTGCACCTTGGCGAGAGTGGATGATAAATGAGAGATGAATAATTCCTTATTGCTACTTATCTGCTGAATCTATAAACTAGTGTCAGCATTTACTCAATTGGGTTTAAAGCTGTGGCTGGTATACTTATTAACCTGCTTAAAATAAGCCATAAAAAAGGGCTTGGTAGGCAGTTGTTTTAACTAATTTTTAAAAATGACACTGGTCATTTTCCACCAACTTGTGGGGTGACCTTTGGAAAGTCACTTAACCTCCTTTAGCTCACCTGTAAAATTAAAGGAGAGTATGTCAGCTCCAAGGTCCTTGCAGCTTAATGATCTTTGATTCCATGCTTTTAAGAGGCACAAATTAAGAGATCCTGATAATAACTATAAATAGTTGGTATGGACTATGCTATTTATACTAGGACTATCCTTGGAGGCAGGGAAAGCAGCCTTTGGTAATCAGAGCCGAACATTTTTAGTTTAATTCTGTTACTTATTAGTGATGTGACCTTTGGTAATACGGTATCTTTGAGTCTTGGTTTCCTCCTCTATAAAGCGGGAGGCGGAATACTTTAATAATACCCTGGAGGGTTGTTGAAGATCAATGTGATATACATAGAGTGCTATTGTTGTTAGGGGCAGTAGAGTCTAACACTCTACTCACAGTTACCCTCGGAACAATAGACCTGAACCTTGCCCTGTCCTGTTCCTCTTTCAGGATGTCCTGATAAGCTCATCAGACTCATTGTTACAGTCATTGTGTCAAACCCATTGTTGAGGGTCTTCATCTCTTTCTGTGAGCCACTACCTTTCTCAGCATATCCTTTTCCAGGGAATGAAAATAAATAAATTAATAAATGGTGTCAAATACATAAAGGACTTTGATAAAACATGTAATTCATGGTCCTTATTTTAGAGATGAGAGACTGGAGGTGCTGTTTGGTTAAGCCACAGGGTCAAAGAGTCCCTAGGTGGGGCACATGGTTAAGGTGCTTTGCCACTAACTGAATATTGAAGATTCAGGTCTACCTAGAGTTGCCTCTGGAGAAAAGGCCTGGTGATTTTAAAGCCAGTCCCTGAAAATCCTGTGGAGTATAGTTCTGCTTTGACACAGGGCAGTTGTGAGCTCTAGTTGACTCCAGGGCAACTGGTTTTTTGTTTGCTTGCTTGCTTCTTTTTCAGCAGAATCTAGGAAAGGGTAGTTGAACTTTCTTGCATTTTTTTTTATTACAGGTGGACAGTAGTAAAAATATGTAAAGACTGAACACGTAGAATACTTCTCTGAAATCTGTGGATATTTAATAGAAACTTGTGTCTGATTGGGCATTGCTGGGAATGTAAACTGGCACAAAAATAAGAAAATAAGTTCGTTTCACACGTATTTACAAGCCCAGGAACTCTTAGCAAAACAGAACATGTTTTCAAAGGTATTGGAAATACGCATTCTTCCTAGCACTGGAGGGATGAATAATCCCCATGTCACAGGTAAGTATGACCTATTTGAGTCCACCCAGAGACACATACAGACACATCATATGTTGTTGTAGAGAATTCAGTTAACAAAGGTGTCAGGACACACTCTTGTGAGAATCATCCCTCAGACAGTACCTACCACCATGTTTGTACAGAGCTCTAAAAGGGGGGAAACCCCTCCAATCAAACCTCAAACCAAATGCCATTGAGACAGCACCACCCACTTGTAGCTGACCCTCCAGTGGGTTTCCAGGGGTTGTAAATTACACTGGAGAAGATTGACCATTTTTCTTCCTAGGAGTAGTTGATGGACTTGAGCCCCCTGACTTTGACTTAACAACGTAACTCCTTACCACTAAGAAACCAGAGTTCCCTTGTCCAGCGCAGAGGCCTGACAAAAATGTGTTATGAGGGGAAAAACAGGCCTGATGGGGCCTGCTGGTCTTGTAGTCAAAAAAGGAGGGGATGAACACTGCAGTTCTGTCCAAATACTCTTTCTGTCCTTTTATCAACCACTTAGTTATCAATCAGTTTAAAGTAGAGAAAGATAATAGAAATGTCATTATAAACCCAGGTCTCTGTCATAATTAGAAAACAAATTTTTATTTGAGAAATAAATTTGTTCTATGTTGCTTTGTATCTTTTCTTGACTAGAATGTGTTACATTGAATCAAAATTATCAATAGACCATCTCTTGAAGGTTTCACGAATGTATAGTGAGATTTTAAGTCTACTTTTTGTACTCTATCCCATACATATTGCAATTAGAACAAGAGAAGGCTGTATCTCTCATCTTCTAAAGGGTTGCTTATTTTCCTGCAAGCTAAACTTACTTCAAAAACGGCATTTGACATTTCTTAAAAGCTGCCTTGTAATTAATTTGGTCTTCAGTCAAGTTCTGAGCATTTAAGTCCCCTAGCCTTCACTTTAGCCTTCGCCTCAAAGGTCTTTCCACTGACCACTGACCACTGTCATTGGCCTGGCTTTTTGGCCGTCACTAAAGGGCGGTCTTCCCTCTCCTGCCCTTATCCTCTCCTCTTCTCCCTTGGTCTTGATCTGAATAAGTAGCTTTTATTTGCAGCTGCACAGGCACCTGGCCATACAGTCCCCCACATCCTGCTGGCAGCAAAGGGAGTTTTGAGAAGAGGGAAATGTTACAAGAACCTAGATGATTGTTTTCAATTTCAGAAACACTCAAGGTTGCAAGTGAAATTCTAAGACAATCTAGATGGCTGCAAAAGTGTTTTCTAGAGCGGGGGCAGGGAGGACCACTGTGGAAAAATTACTCCCACCTCTGTCTGTCAGTCAAGAGTCTGTCCTGGACTATTCCTGGAGTTCGAAAGACTCAAAAGTTGAATTCCCTGAAATTGGGCATCTTTTGCAATAGAAACTCAGTAGTTCTATTCCGCAATGTTCTCATTCTGGGCCATTTTACTTAAATTAATTATTTTTAAATATTATTTCCAACAAACACAGACTTTTTATAATTTATTTTAAAAATACAGAAAAGCAGAAGAGGACAAAAATCATCCTTCACCAAGCCTTTCAGAAACAAATATTTATGGTGTGTTTTTTTTTCTCTTTTGATAAATACATGTTTTAGGGCATAAAATGTTTTACAGTCCATTTTTTTATTTTAAAAAGTATATTTTAAGACCTTTCCATGTCATTACATATTTTGAGAAAATATAATTTAATGGTTTACAA